TGTGTGCGCCAAACATCTTCATTCAACCTGCGAACCATTGAGAGCAATTGTTCGTTGAGCTTTTTCTTGGCAGATTTCTGAATGGAGCCTGGATATTTTGTACCTTTTGAAAAATGTCACTGACTTCGCATCCAGTTATCAGTGCCCGATACCTTCGGATCATCATTTCAAATCGTTGCAGTAAAGGCTTGATTACCTTTTCAACGTAAGGAAGTCGCGCCTAAAAGCAATTGTTACCTCTCCAAATACCCGAAGAATGCAAATAAGAAGATGCTCACCATGGCTAAGGTTTCGCCTTCAACATCCATTTGAAACCGTCTAGCAACAAATTCATTCAGTGATGGAAGAACGAATGCACCTTTCAACAGCTTCAGATACAGCGAGCAAAGAGCTATCTTGTACGCTACTCTGTAAAAAAAATTACAGTTGAATCAAAATTTTAACTACAGTAAGTGAGAAGAACGAACTGCTCATCAATGTCGAGTGCTCTCCCATGCAGTAGATCACCTGACTCGCCCGAAAATTTCAATTCGAAGAAAAATTCCGAGTTTGCTGAAAAAAAAACAATATTTAAAGCGCCGCGAAGGGAAGTAGTGCGAAGTAGTGTTGTAGACTGATGCCATAAAGCAACAAGCGTGAATGAATATGATTGAAATTAATCAGTAAAGTTGTCGACATACAGTCCCTAATGTGGAGCGCCTAAATTGTGCTAGATGTCAACGATGGCGCTATTTGCCAGTATAAAGTTTTCTAGGCGCACTCTAAAGCAGTGGATCGGCAAATGGATTCTTCTCGGATTATGGTGGTGTTAGGTAGTAAACGCCTCCAAGTACACTGTTGCCCAAACCCCACTTGCCAATTCATGCGCTAAGTCCAAAAGTGCGCTCCAAAACTTCACCGGTCCCTGCCGTCTCCATTGCGTGCGGAGGCAGTGGACTTTTGGAACGAATTTTCAAGATTTAGCGCATGATTTGGCAAATGAAGTCTGGGCTATAGTGTACTTGGGAGTTTACAACCTAACACCACCAAAATCCGCAAAGGGTCCATTTTGCCGATCCACT